AATCGTTCCCTCGACCAATCAGCAGAAGCTGTAGGAAACAATTGCAACTTGTCAGATCAGCTTCATCTCCAGCTTCATCCCCAGCTTCATCTCCATCTTCGTCTCCATCTCCATGTTCATCATCATCATCATCATCAACGTCGTCACCAATTCCTTCACTATCATCATGTTCATCATCATCGCCATATTCATCATCGCCATATCGCCATATTCATCATCACATCATCAGCATCATCAGCATCATCAGCATCATCAGCATCAGCATCAGCATCAGCATTGATCACCAAGAGCGGCATCAACAGACAACGCATATAGGTCAAACCTCCGAGACGTCTGAGCTGCTGGGTGATATAACCTCCCTTCTCACTCTTCCACTCCCAGACACGGTCAAGAAACTGAAAAGAAAAGATGAACAAGTGAGACGGAGAAGTCAAAAGATTAAGAAGTAAAAGATTGCAAAGTAGCAAGAATCAAGCTCAACAGACCTTGTCTCTTCCAAGATCATATCTCGATTTTCCTTCGGCGTTCAAAGACCTTTCCACCTAAAGAACAAACGAGTCAACGATGATCGAGCATAATTCACGATTGCATCATCCACTTCAACAGCTGTTTCATCCATTGACCCACACATCTGCCATCATGACAACTTTCGTATGTTCATAGTCTTGACAACTCAGATATCTGATATCTCAGATATCTGAAATCTGATATCTGATATCTCAGATATCTCAGATATCTGATATCTGATATCTGATATCTGATGTCTTTTCTGATATATCAGACAAGTCTGGTATCTGAGATATCATACTTTTCTGATATATCATGTATCAGATATCTGATGTCTTTTCTGATATATCAGGCAGGTATGATATCTCAGTGATGTCTGTCATATCATACTTGTCTGATATCTCTTGTTAATCCCAATCATGCTCATCATTACTGCCACCCTCTCCACAATCTTCTTCATTCACCAGTAGCTGAGTCGCAATGCCCGCATGATCAGTCCCAGGAAGCCACAACGTCGGCTTGCCCTGACCGAGGAAACGTTAGAATGAAAGAAGAACAGAGCAGAGCAGAGCAGAGCAGAGCAGAGCAGAGCAGAGCAGAGCAGAGCAGAGCAGAGCAGAGCAGAGCAGAGCAGAGCAGAGCAGAGCAGAGCAGAGCAGAGCAGAGCAGAGCAGAGCAGAGCAGAGCAGAGCAGAGCAGGGGCGAGAGGGGAACGAACGAGGGGAGGGGGGGGGGGCAACGAATAATCAGAGGCTGGCAGGAATAGAGGAAAGAAGGAGGAAGGATAGGAACAAGAAAGGAGCAGAGCAGAGGAAAGGAGATCAGAGAGTAGGTAAGGAAAGGAAAGGAAAGGAAAGGGGAGGGGGGGGGGGAAGCCAAGACAGAACAACACGAGCGATGTCACCGTCATACGATGGTAGCGAGCAAGAATGTCCTGCGAGCAATCAACCTTATGATCGATCGGACCTAAAGGCTCCCAATCCTGTCTCTCATCCCATCCTTGATTCCTGCATACCTTACACTACTCGTCTTCTCCTCTTCCCCTGCCTCCTCCTTCCCTCCCTCCCCCCCCCGCCCCGCCCCACTCCCCTCCCTCCGCCTCCTCCTCTCTTCCCACCTGGAGGGCAACAAACATAGCATGCCCCATGTGAAGCCCGCCAGTGACGTTAGGAGGAGGCATAGGAAGCACGTAGGACTTCTTCTCTCCCTCCTTGTACTCCTTAGGCTTGAACAGACCGTTGCTCTCCCACCACTTGTACAAGGGTTCCTCCACCTCCTGAGGGTTGTACTGCGGGGGCATCTCGTTCCCGGCCGTGATGCAGTCAGGGATAGGCAGCGTTTCCTTGCTCTCCGTTGCTCCTGCTCTGCAGTGGACAGCTCGGGAGTTGTGACCTCCTCGCAACCTTCCCATCCCCAGCCTCTCCGCTACCTTGGCTGCTCCAAAAACTCCTCCTCGTGCCAGCGCTGAAATCCCCCTCCTAACACGAGGAGAGATGGAGCTGGCAGGAGGGAGGGAGGCAGAGGAGTACCCTCCTCGCATGCGCAGAGTGGGAGAGGTCGCTGTGATCGCCTCCTCCATCCCTGAGACTGTGCGGAACGACTTGGTGTCGACCTCCATCCTCCCTCTCGCAATGTCCTGAGCCAGACCCGGCCGTTCTGCCATGAGCCGCTGCGCCAGGGAGTGGATCTGCGCAACCTGAGCCACGGAGAGGACGGGGACTTTGGCGATGGCGCGAACGGGCGAGCACATCATAGAGCTGAGGGTGAAGATCATGACGACAACCTTGCTGAGCTTGTCCAGTGAGTCGAGACGCATCTGTGCTCGCAGTGGGCGGGACGAAACTTGCCTGTGGAAGACAAGAGGTAAGAGGAACAGACAAGGAGAGGAGGAGAGGAGGAGAGGAGGAGAGGAGGAGAGGAGGAGAGGAGGAGAGGAGGAGAGGAGGCAGGTAGAGAAGGGGACAGGGAATTTCAGATGGCGTTGCGATCTCTAACTACTCAAGAATTCCATGCTGGCTGCTAGGGGTTGTGCGCGAAGCGGGGTGTAAGAGAAGCAAGGTCGTTGAAGGCGACAACAGGAAACAGGTGGGAAGAGTAGAGTGCAGCAGGACACAAAACGTCTTCAGATATCTCAGAAGAGACAGGAGAGGAAATCTGTTGTGTGAAGCAGGCGAGTTCAGAGGTAAGACGAGCGGATTGGGAGGAGAGGAGCAAGGAGAGGACAAGGAGAGAACGAGGATAGGAGAGGAGGAGAAGACAAGGAGAAGAGGAGGGGACGGGAGGAGGAGAGGAGGGGACGGGAGGAGGTGGGGGGATGCTGATGACGCTTGCAGGGTTCTATGAGGTGTCAGGATGCTGGCATGGGCCATGTTGGGCAGGAGGCCGTCGGCATTGTTAGAGCACGACGTGTGGAAGGGGGTACTGCTCCACCCCAGAAACTTCTTTTGAAATGGGGGTATTGCTACTAACGAAGCTGGGTGGGGGTACTGCATGCAATATTAAACAGGGGGTGGGGTCAGCTGCGGGCCGGGCTTTGTTTGTAGTTGGAGCCGCTGAGGTCACCGTGACCGGGTCCCGGGAGTCCGGCGAGACTGCCCGACGATTCATCCCTGAGTCCGATCCCCCGGGCCCGCCGGCCCGCACTGCGGCAAGTTGCGCGCCGCCGTTCAGCACGGTACGGAGTACTACTTGGCAGTATTCAAGTACGTACTGGCCAAACGGCGAGAAGCCGGCAGTGAAACTTGAAACTTAGAAAGCGAGAAACAAACCTAATCCTAATTAGGTAGTAGCGCGCAGGCCCGTCCAATGATCCGGCCCAGAGTCCGGGCCCTGCGCCGCATGCCAGCGATCATCGGATGTGAAGAGTCGCTGTGCCGGGCCGCCGGCCGCCGGCGACTTGAAGGAATGAGACGCGGCGGACACTCAGACTCAGAGTACCGTACTGTAGTACCGCCCGGCCCGGCCCGGCGTACCGTGTCACTGTCCGCCGGAGCACCGCCGCATGGCCCGGAGCCTCGGAGCCTGTACGGACGGTCGGCCCGGTTCGTATAACCGTTGATGAAACGGACAGTGGAGGAATCGGGAAGCGGCGAAATGGGAGAGCGAGGGATGGAGGAGGGAGAGAAGCTGAGGAGACTGAGGGAGAAGGCGAGCAGCGACGGGCTGAGGATACCTGACAAGCATCTCCTCAAGTTCCTGCGCTGGAAGTCTGAGGGGGATCGAGCGTACGAGCGGCTGTCCGACTTCGTGAAGTGGAGGAAGGGGTGCGGGTGGATGGACTCGCCCGACCCTCTCCTCCTCAGCAGGAGCGAGGTCATCAGGAAGGTCGTCATGAGCGGTGTTCTCGCATGTCCAACAAACGTGAGGGGAAAGCATGGAGAGAAGCTCATCTTTGGTCGCTTCCGTTTCAACGACCTGAGCTCCTGGTCCCCCCAGGACCTCTGCAGGGCGATCGTGTACCTTGTGGAGACGGCTCTGATCTCAGAGGAGACGCAGGACAACGGCGTGCTTGTCCTGCATGACCTCTCGGGGATAGGACAGAACAATATCTCCATCCAAGTGCCGAAACTACTCCTCCCCATCCTCCTGGGTAAATACCCGGTCAAGGTGAAAGGGATATACATCTACAATGCTCCATGGTGGTTCCAAGGGCCCTTGCAAGTCGTCAAGCTCCTGATGCCATCCAAGATCCGGTCAAGACTGCACACGATATCCAACCTCTCAGAGGTGCACGAGGCCATCGACCCTGCTGCTCTTCTGGTAGAGCATGGGGGGACGACTGACTATAAGCCGGAGGAGTGGGTCAAGTCTCAGATGGACTTCGAGGCTGGAGGAGGAGACGATGACTACATGGTCAGGTGCCTGCAGACTTGAAGGAGCTGCTCTTGCCGCCTCCTCGCCACTTTCGCTGCTTTTGTACCTGTAAAGCAATAAGAGGGTCCAGAGTCCTTTCCTTGAAGGGAGCAGGACTGAAGGATAGCGTGACGCTGCTACCAGTATAGAGCACACTGATGGAAGCAGGCAGTGATGAAATGCGTATGTGATCAAATCTCAATCAACAGCTAAGACCCTCACACTGAGTTGTGAATAAGTCCACACTGAGAGAAGTTAGATTTTGTTATAAAGTAGGCCAACCTCCCAAGGCTGGGAACCCCTTTAGACAGGACAATAGGAGAGAAATAAGGAGAGAGCAATAGTTCTTAGCTATGAAATTCTTGACTTATTGTCTAATAAACTCAATTAGTCGATTGACTAAGCATGCTACCTAACTGAGTGTGTATACTACAGCACCCGGTACTACATCATCGGACATGGCTTGTCAGTAACATATTTGCATATCCAATCCTAATTTGACTGATATGCGTCATATTGCGTCAGTACCAGGAACTTGAGAAAAACAAATTCGAAGCCCATGATTGGCATCGATCAAGTTAATATCTTGCCGTCCTCCGACTCGCAGGAGCCTTGCCGCGCGTCGCTTGCGTGGTTGGAGTAGCGGTTTTCACTGCCTCCTTTGTTTCCTAGTATTTCGTTGAGGCGGGTTTGTAAGGTTTATCCTCGTATCAACGTGGAATGAAGTGTACACAGTGGCGAATGATCAGTTGGCTGCTGCTCCTGGTAATGTTGGAAGAGCGACGAGCGTTACAGGTGGAGGAGGATGCCTCTTGCGAGCAGGTCCCCTCCTCCCCGTCCTCCTCCTTCCCCCTGCTGGAGCACTGCATTCAGCTCTTTCTGCTTTCCTGTTTTCTTTCCTCCCATGGATCCACTCTGTTCTCACTCCTCCCCATAATCATCATCATCATCACAACCACCGCCACTAAAACCACCACTCCCCTTCCTCCTATCCCTCTTCCGCGTCTTGGTCCAGGCCTCTTGCTGGTGCCGCTCATGCTGCAACTCTTCACTCGCTCCCCTCCCCTCGTTCTCATCCTGCTCATTGTGTTTCTCCTTCTCCTCTACCTCTATATCACCCTCCTTCCTGGACTCCTTTCCCACCTGCCGCGAACATCTCCGAGCCTCTCCTTATCATTCCCTCCTCTCACCCAACGAGCTGACCATCATCTCTACCAGAGGAGGAGGCAACATCGAGGTCTTGACAGCATCCAAGTGCTGGACTGGGACTCGCGGGTGTTTGCGGTGAGTTCCTGCCGCTGCCTTGATGTCAACTCAGCTACCTCTCCTCCAGATCCAAAACTTCCTGTCCGATGAGGAGGCCGACGAAGTGATACGACTAGGGCACGAGGAGCTGGATGCCCAGCACGGCGGCGGGTGGGAGCGGGAGGTAGCATACGGAACTGCCTTCTTTCACTACCATCAGAGCAACATGTCACGCGTGCTGGTCGAGCTTGAGGACAGGATCGCTCGCACTACCATGATCCGCCCCCATCCCGATGAGCTGCCGCTCATGTTTACGAGGCAGGTCTCCTGTGCGCATGCAGCCCAGCAGCAGCAGGTCCTGACTCTTGTCCTCAGATTCCAGGGGCGATTGTAGGCAACGTTGTGCCCAACCAGAGGGTTAGGAATGTCCACCATGACAAGAACCAGCGGGAGAACAGAGTTGTCACTGTTCTGATCTACCTCTCAGACTCGGGGGAAGGGGATGGAGGACACACCATCTTCCCTTGTCTTCCTGCACCTGCTGCCACCACTGGCGCGGCCAGACGATCTTTCTCCTCTAAGTTCAAGAGGCTGTTCCTCAACGGTTCGCGCACCCTCAGCGGGAGGGGCGGGAGGGAGGAAGAAGTCAAGCTGCTTGCTGCCTGCAACGAGCAATGTCTCCTTGCGCACGAGGCTGCTGTGATGAACATCCGGCCGCAGAAAGGAACCGCCGTCATCTTTTGGAATGTCCTCGCTGACGGGAGCCCGAACTTTCGCGTCTGGCATGCTGCTTGTCAGGTTTGCATGTTTCCTTATCTTGCTGTGTGATCATTGACTTGTTATATGCTCTGCTTCAACAAACACCTTCTCCTGCTCTTCGAGAAGGCCCTGAAGGGGAAGGCAAGTAAGCACAAGATGTGACAAGAGAGTTGTCACCTTACATTTCTGGTGCAGGATACGCTCTTCAAAAATTTAAAGAGTTTCCGAGAGTTACGGGGGAGTGGGTACTGGAAAAAGGCGCAAAAAGGCCAAAGTGGGTGGAGAAGTGAAGTGAAACATTGATTGAAGGTTTATGCAGTATGTGATTAGTTGCGACACTTGCTGAATGACAACAGTAGAGCGGGGCAGAGGACAGGTCAGGACTTGACACAGCAAGACACGTGGAGAGGAGAGGAGAGGAGAGGAGAGGAGAGGAGAGGAGAGGAGAGGAGAGGAGAGGAGAGGAAACAGGAAAAGAAAGGACAGGGAAGGAAATAGGAGATGGGAGAAGGGGGTTCAGGATCCGACCAACGCTGTTTAACATGCACACCGTGCTCGTCTTGCTTGCACTCCGTCGTGGAGTGAAATAGCAACTGAGTCAGGAGCGGCTCCTTCCTGCTGGTCCGCAGCGTCTGTCTTGCCCTCCTTCAACAGCCTCCTAGCAATCTTCTCGAATACCAGGTCCACGTTCTCGCATGACTTGGCGGAGGTGAAGGTAACGTTGGCTCCTACCTGCTCCGCAAAGGACGTGACCTGCCATCTGAGGTCATGCCGCCATGGGGCAGGAACGACTTCCTCGAGCATGCAGACAGTCTCCTTACCTCCTGTATGCTCACCCTGCTACCCTTCAAGTCGTTCTTCGTGCACGCGATGTCCAGGATGACCCCTTCCCCCAGACTCTCTCTAAGATCCTCAACCCATTTAGCAAGGCTCAGAAACGTCCTCCTCTCCGACAAGTCGCAGCAGAGCAGAGCGGCAGACGCGTTCCTGTAGTACATTCGCAACATGCTCCGAAAGCGCTCTTGCCCTGCCGTGTCCCACATCTTGAGGTTCACTGCCCCCTCCTCTACCGTCACAATCTTGGCCATGTATGTTCCTCCTATCGTCCCGTTGTAGCTCTTTTCTGTGTATGTCCCTTGCACGAACCTCAGCAGCAGCGCTGTCTTGCCCACACCGCTGTCTCCCACAACAACGACTTTGTGGGCAATCGCCGCCTCCATTTCCCTATACCGGCTGTGCTCCCTGGAGATTGCAAGTGCAGGATAAAAGTAGAGAGGACAGGACAGGACAGGACAGGACAGGACAGGACAGGAGAAGAAAGGACAGGACGGGACAGGACAGGACAGGAGAAGAAAGGAGAGGAGAGGAGAGGAGAGGTGAGGTGAGAGGAGAGGAGAGGTGAGAGGAGAGGAGAGGAGAGGAGAGGAGAGGAGAGGAGAGGAGAAGGGAGATGAGGCTGGGTCAGGAGATCGATGCCCTTGGTAATGGGATACACTGGAGATAGGAGGGATCAGTCAGCCTATGTTGTTATGTCCTTCCTCCTCCTCACGGCCTCGTCTTGTTTTTGGGACGTAGTAGACTCACGTCTCCGGGCCCCCAGATGATCCTGCGGCCCGCGCCGGTCACCGGGTGACTCACTGAGCACCGATCGGACGGTGGCACGCCGTGCCGGGAGTGACTGCGCACAGTGACAGCGGCAGTGCCCCCGGGCCGCCGCCCGGTCCGGGCCCGGCGCGGCCGGTGGCCCGGGCGCCGGGCGGTAGAACTGCCACTGAGCCCGGGCTTGAACCGTTCAAGGAACTGATTGGCCGCGGCAGCGGCCGCGGGGCGCGGCCCGCCGTGCCACCGGGCGGCGGGCCCGGCGGTCCGGGTGGCAGCCTGGCAGCCTGACTCCGAGTGAGTCCGATCATGCCGGATGGCACCGTCGCACAGTGGTCCGACCGTCACCGGGTGACCGGCCGCGTGACTGGGCGGCCCGCCTGCCACCGTCGTGGCACTGGCATTTTTGACTAACGCGGCGGTTAATTTTGCTGAGGCTTCAGTGCGGCCGCGGCCGCACTACTGGCACTGGCAGGCTGCCCGGCCAGTGACTCGGGGACTGCCCCCCGAGTCAGCCTGTGAGGCCCAGGCCGCGGCGCGCCGCCCCGCCGGGTCGGCAGCCGGCCGAAGTTCCGAGCCAAGTTCAACGGTTCTGAGTGACACAACAATCACCCGCCGGTGACTCAATTCACTCAAAGTTAAGTTAAAAATCAGTACGAGGACAATCAGGCAGTGACTCTGATTTTTAACTTAACTTTGAGTAAACGGTAAAGACTCAGTAGCCCCGCCTCACTCGGACGGTACCCGGCTGGCAGCCGCCTCGCCTCAGTCCGACTCCGCGCGGCGCTCCGAGGCTCCGGCGAGCGGCGTAACACCTGAAGGAAAAAAAAAAAAGATACAGGCGAGTAGATATGTTATTCTTACTACTCGCCGCCGCTGAATCTTTTCAAGTTCGCCGCTGTCCTTCATATCTTCCAGCTCCGCATCGCGCCCTCCCCGTACTCTTCCAGCTACCAGCGTATCGCTGCTGTATCCTCAATCCCCTCCCAACTCACAACCACCGCGGCTCAGCCCCTGCCAGGCTTCTTTCTTTCTTCCCGCCCCCCCCCTCCCCCCCCACACGCCTCCCCGCCTACTTTCTCACAAATTTACGGTTCTTTCTTCCTCCTTTTCCCTCATCCTCCCTCCCTTCAATGCCCCCCTCCCCTCTCCTCTCCGTCAAGATCTCCCAGATCTCCCCTTGGGCTCCTCCCGCAAGGCCCTCCCCCAGTCTCTCCGCCCCTTCCGAGCACACGCCCAACCAGCTCCTGAGCAATGTCCTCGCCGCTAGGAAGAAGGCGTCTCTCGCGCAAGGGGCTCGGACCTGCTCCAAGGCAGCAGCAGCCATCGAGTAGGAGCAAGACAAGGACTCGAGGCAGGCACAGTTGTACATTAGAGCGAGAGGGTATTGTTCGAGTGACAGATGATATACGTACTGGAATGAAGTCACGAAAACGGTTTCAAAGACTTTCTCGCATTCATAGCCAAAAAGACGTGTTTGAACACCAGGTGAAACGTGAACTGACACATCTTTGAGTTGCAGTCATCAAGACTGCGCAAATGGCTGCTTCCTTCATCGAGACTGCACCAACGCTCCAACACTCTCGTCAAAGAGCTGACAACCACATAGTATCATCTTTATGAGCATCATTATGAAACGACAAATCAAGCTCTCCATCATGATTTTCATTTCTACGAGCTGGATGACTCAGATCTCGAGCTTTTCAAGAACAAACAGACTGAGGTTTTGCTGTTAGCATGTGATTTGACATAAGTTAGACCTGCCGGAATGCCAGGGCTCGATACGGAACGGACTGGTATTCCTTATACAGAACTCACCTTGTTGCTGAGGACCCTGCCGATGTGCCATCAAACAGGAGCCTTAAGGGCTTCAATGCTTACAACGTCTTCACCTTGGGTCCCACGACGTATGGACCCTACCTGGTCTAGTACACTGGAAGCTACGGGTCTGCCTCCCTGTTGCCTGCAAGGAAGGTAGCTACATCAACAAATCCTGTAAGATGGAAGGAAGGGACAAGATCGAACATTCTCTGCTTCTTAGGGAGCTGGACTATAAAAGACTGAGCTACAACTCGTGTTTTCCCTCTTGTGTTTTCCCTCTCCTCTCTGACTTCACGCTCACGTGCGTTCTCTATTTCCTGTTGCTTCCTGGCATCGACGATAAACCCCTTTGAGTTCACACCTGCTTCTTTGTCTTTGAAGGTTCATGCGCATCCGCTTCGTGGCTGCTTAAACATAGACCCGGGGTATAGCACCATGGTGGGTGTCTCCAGACTTTGGGTCGAAGTTAGGAGGGTCATCCTGCGATCAAGAGAAGACGGATAGTTCTTCAAAGATCAGAATGAGATTAATCGAGGTGTATCCTTGCTCTACAGATTTCACTCAAGCAAATATACTGCTCAAAACGATACTCAAACAATACCCTCTCGCTCTACTGTACAACTGTGCCTGCCTCGAGTCCTTGTCTTGCTCCTACTCGATGGCTGCTGCTGCCTTGGAGCAGGTCCGAGCCCCTTGCGCGAGAGACGCCTTCTTCCTAGCGGCGAGGACATTGCTCAGGAGCTGGTTGGGCGTGTGCTCGGAAGGGGCGGAGAGACTGGGGGATTGACTTGCGGGAGGAGCCCAAGGGGAGATCTGGGAGATCGTGACGGAGAGGAGAGGGGAGGGGGCCATTGAAGGGAGGGAGGATGAGTGGATCGGAGAGCAGGTTACTGAAAGTGGGGAGGAATAAGTGGGACAGGGAGGGGGGGGGGGAGGTAGAGTAGAAATCAGATGCGGGAGGAATAAGCGAGACAGAGGGGGCGAGGTAGAGTAGATATCATGCGGGTTTCAGGTTTGTATCTTCTCCCTTGAAACTGCGTCGCTTCACAATAGAGCCGTAGCACCGAGGATTAACTCCCGTAGTAAAGTTGTGGCATCAGTGTGAGCAAAAGGGCGTAGAGAAAGGGCCAGAGCGATGAACCGTTGAGAGATGCGCTCCGGAACCTCACCAAAGTCAACACATAGGAGCAAAACTCGCGGCACAATCATTGAATGCCAGTACTAGTAAGCCAATGACCTGGCCCACGGGCCACGTGCCGGAGTGCCTGACCCACTAGCCAGCCAGCCGGCTGAGCCTCGTGATGGGCCCGTTGAAGCGATTAGGATTGCGATCACAAGGATCGTGACTTGCCGCAGTCACTGAGTGCCCAGTGCGGCCCCCCCGGCCCGGCGCCCCGCCGTTTTCAAGTTTATTACTCAAAGTTACGTAGTGATCGGACCCCGGCCCGGCGCTGACGGCCCGAGCCGGCGCCGGGCCGCCACATTCACAGTCTTCTTTACTCAAAGTTCATCATTTACTCAAAGTTAAGTTAAAAATCAGTACGAGGACAATGATCGGACGGTGACCCTGAGTAGTCAGGAGAGTCGAGGAGCCTCGGAGGCGGCTCCGGACTCTGACACTGTCGCACAGGCCATCAGCGGCGAGAAGAGAAAAGACAGCGAGAACCAAACCCAATCATTGAATCCTGCCAACTTCCTTGCCAACCGTGACTGCACTTCAGTGTGACTCGACTCAGGCTCGGACTCTCCGAGCGGCTCGGCCCGGAACTTCGGAGGCCCTACGCGGCCAGTGACTCGGAGTGCCGTGAGATCCGCCCGGCCGACCGGCACTGAACTTTTAAAAGCTGGTCTGTGGGTGAAATAACATCGGGAAGCGATTGAGATGCGAGCATGACGAAACTTGGAAGTATGCGAGGGAGGACGGCGATGGTGGTGATGGCGATGGTTAGCATACAAGGTAAGGAGAACAAACATGCAGAGGTGAAGGACACGATGCTTGTAAAGAAACGTGTTCTTGTCTAAGATGACGACAAGGATGAGGATGATGGTGGTCGTGGATGTGGTTGTGGTTGTGTTGGTGGTGGAAATGATGGTGAAAGGTAAGAAGGATGTGATGGTGAAGATGATGATGTTGACAGTGTGATGATGGAGGTGGAGTGGGTGGATAGTGATATCGATGATGGAGATGATTGCAATATTGATGATGGGGATGAAGATTACGGTGGAAGTGATGATTGCAAGTTCCTGTCGGTGAGGACTTGCGCAATGGGTAGGAGGAGTTGGGAATTTTTGTGCACCTGAGTGATTTGATTGAGGAGTATATGATGACGACGATGGTGACGAAGGGCGTTTTGGAGGAAGGAAGAGGAGAAGGGAGATGTATCATTGCTGTGGCATTCAAGAGATGTGACTACAACTAACAGCGTCATGTCAGTTGTTGAAAACAAACTTTCCGAGCCATCGTGGGAGCGGAGTTCCTCAGTCCTGGCCAGCAGCCACAGCAAGAAGCTGGACCCGCTCGCGACAACGGACTCGGAGGAGAGGAAAGCAACAATCCAACAGATGTTTGATCGTAAGGAGGAGTTGAAAGAAAGGTTCAGGAGAGAGTGAGTGAAACAGTTGGTGTCGCTCCTCTTCTTTCTGCCAAGCCACCCCCTCCCCTCTCCCCCCAATTACCACCTTTCCTCTCCTCTCCTCTCCTCTCCTCTCCTCTCCTC